AGAAGAAAGAAGATTAGTAATAATTGGTCCACATCTATCTGGAGAAGCTATATATTGGTAGACAGAGCAAAAGTATAGGATACAATATTAAAACAATAAATTTGTATCTCAATATAGTTTTGTTTACTAGTTTTGACAAGCCTTCTGCTCTCAAACCTTGATTTATCAATAAAACAATAAATTATTAACAAGATGACAATGTGTAGAAGAAACAGTGAATCAATATGCTGCTAATATATTGTTATTGTTTAATTGTTACTAAAGTTGAGAGTCAATATCTAAAAGTAGTAAAAGCACAGATATTTGTACAAGAGTTGCATCCTGATCTTTTTTTAGCTATAGAATTATTTATGCTAAATAAATTACAAGAAGCAATAGATCAAGCAAAGATCTGTGAAAAGACTTTTGCATATGTATTAGCCTTTGTAGATCTGTGGCAATATATAATATAATTTCTAATACTTCAGCACATCAACAATTATATTTGCAGAAACAATAGACACCCAATTGCAGCAGCAAGTACTACTTATTCTAAAAATCTGCAACTGAGTTTTTCTACAACTATGAGTTAAAATGGTCCTGTGAAGCATATGATTTCACTACTACAGAAAGTAGTAAATGTGGTAAAGAATAATAATGATAGTAGTAATCATTTACATCCTGTAGATAATAGAAACTATAGAGAAAGCAATAGATGTATGCCTACTGTTTTTAATATTAACAGCAAGGTCACTTTGCAAAGAAGTATTCAAACATAATTTGACATGACAATGACAATAAGAATATCTTACAAGTCCCAAACTTTAATAATTCAAAAAAACAATATAGTTCTAGATATTATCATATAAATAAAATGAAGTTTGGTGAAGAGGATTGCAAAGAGCAAAAAGCATTGTTAAATCAAACTTGTCTATATTTTAAGCTTGGCCTATTAAAACTGAAAAAAGAAAGGCCTCTATATATTATAGATAATTTGCAGAAATAACTGCTGTTGTAAAAATTACAAGATTAACTGTTGTACTCAAAATATGAAGAAAATTAAGTATAATGCATTTGATAATCATCAAGAATTTGGCAAAAATCAGTACAAGTTATTTGAATGATATTTGCAATTCAAGAAAATTAATAAGCCAAAAGAACAATACTGAATAGAATCTTGTTATAATAATATATCTAAAGTTAAAAATAATAATTGCAAGGTATTCAAACAGCATTTAGACTCTGATAAAGACAATTTAAAATCAGGCAAAAACCAAAAATTGATCAAATATTTGGCTCTTGAAGGTAGTATATCAAATAAAATCAATAATAAAAAGTTCGAAGAAAATATTGACAAGATAAAAGGTTTTGGATATTATGACAATAGAATTAGAATGAAGAAGAATGATTATAAAGTATTTGAAGAATTGGAAGAAGAGTTAGAAAGTATAATGAGACAAATTAAAGAGCATGTGGATAAAAGTATTAAGCATAATGATCAAAATGATGTAGTTTGTACAGATAAAAAGAGTAAAAGTATAATAGAAGTTGTCAAAAGCAAAGAAACAGATGAGATAGTTAATGAGATTAGTAACAAAGCAATTCAAACAAATAAGAAAAAAAAAGACTTATCTTAGTTGAGCAACAAGTGGGATCCAAAGATTGGATATCTAGATAAAACATCTAATAATGAAATTGCAGAAGATGAATACAAATCATCTAGTATGAATACATCTGAAAAACTACTTATCAGTTCAAATGAATCAATAGAAATAAGACCAAATAATGCCAAGAGATATGAATTGTATTCAAGTTACTTTGGCAATAGCAACTTGAATGAACAATTTAGTGGTGGATAGTGTTATAAAAATACAAAAGTCAGAAATAAGAATAGAAGAGAAATGCGTAAGTAGAATTTGAAAGTTAATAAAAGACGCAAGCATATTACAGTACAAGACAAAAAAAACCTCACACCTATATCTGCTTACAGAGAGGTGCTACAGCCTTGAAACTTTCTCAAAACTTAGTAAATAGTTAGCCTAGGTTGTGTATTTTTTTTGATAATTTTTCAATCACTAGAAAAAAATTTAGATGAGAGCTAAATTTTGACCAATTTTTTTTACAAAAAATAAAAAAATTTAATTGGGTTCAATTAAAAATTAATAAAAAATCAGGATCATGTTTAAAAATTCTAAAAGTTAAGTATATTAAAATTAATGATTTTTATACTAGTGACAAAAAAATTGACTCAATTTGATGAGATAGTTATTAAGAAATTAATTTTTAAAGTTTAAAATTATTTTGTCACATATGGATAAAAAAAAATCTGTCACAAAGAGGTTTTTATTAATTTTACTATGTAATTTTATTAAAATTACATAGTAAAATTAATAAAAACCTCTTTGTGCCAGATTTTTTTTTACCCATATGTGACAAAATAATTTTAAACTTTAAAAATTAATTTCTTAATAACTATCTCATCAAATTGAGTCAAATTTTTTGCCACTAGTATAAAAATCATTAAATTTTAATATACTAAACTTTTAGAATTTTTAAATATAATCCTGATTTTTTATTAATTTTTAATTGAACCCAATTAATTTTTTTCATTTTTTGTAAAAAAATTGTTCAAACTTTAGCTCTCATCTAAATTTTTTTCTAGTGATTGAAAAATTACAAAAAAAAATACACAACCTAGGCTAACTATTTACTAAGTTTTGGGAAAGTTTCAAGACTATAGCACCTCTCTGTAAGCAGATATAGATGCAGGGTATTTTTTGTCTTGTACTGTAATAAAAATATGACTCGATTAGTTAAGCACATTAAGAGAAATTCATTTACGTTGGTTGGGCTGTGGAGAAATTCTATCAGTACCTATGTAGATCTTGATTTACCAAGATGATCGACCAGTATGCTTTGGCCTTCTCAGACTGGGCTAGATTTGTATTCGACCCAGGAGGCAAAATCTGAATGAGGACGGTAAAGAATAATGAAGTAAAATGAAAAAAAAAACTTTATCAAAACAATTCAGATGGAATTTTTTTGAACAGTATGAACTGCTAAAACTTTTTATCCCATGGCCTCATGAAAGTCAAGGTCTGTGAAAGCAATTAATCGAGAATGCCAACATGAAAATACATGCGCAAGAAGCATATAGCATATATTCAACCTTGAAGATTTTACGGATTTGCTGGAGCTCATCCTTCAAGCGGAGGAATAATGTTACACAACGAAGTTTCACAGTTAACTTTCGTTGTATAACCAATATACTTTCGTTATACTTGTATATACTTTTTCGTGTAACATTTTAATAGTTTATGCGAAGTATAAAGCATACTTTAATTAGACTGTAAATAGACTATAGCTTATTTTAGAGTTTGTCCATAGATATATATAGAACGTTATGTATTTTAGTTCTTTAGTTCTTTTTAGTTTTTAGTGAGTCTTTTGGATATTTGTTTAGAAGGGTTATTTTGTTTTAGTGCGTTTGGAACGTACTAGGTTGGTTAGTAAATAGGGATATTTGAACTATTAGTGTCTGGGACACATTGGTTTAGTATTTTCTGGTGCCTTGTGTGTATAAATAAATATTTGGCTTTCTTTTGTTAATATTTACGACTCCTTGCTAAATTGGCTAAGTGGATACAAAGTCTCTCCCTTGGTCGTAACAACAAACGCCAAACTTGAATTGAACTATCTGGTACTATTAAACTGAGTTACACTGATTGCTAATCATCACGGGAACTTACAATTCTCAATTTTTATTTGATGTTTCTGTCAAACATAGTTAGTCCTCGCTACACTTCAGACAATTACATGTATACTGTGAATATTTGTTTATACAACTCCTAAACTTTAAGATCGCGCAAGAAATTAAACCGAGTCGAGATATTAACCCTGTCAAGATGCATACCGAAAATGAGTACAAGATATCTAAAATAAATTTTTTATTTTATGAACTGCATAATTATAATAAAAAAATTTTCCACTAATTTTGGATAGTAATCGTCAAAGTTTGAAAAAAAAAACGGATAATTTTCAAAAGCCGCGGTAAAGCTTTCCCCAAATTTTAGGCGAAAATAACTCGATAACCACTTACCTAAAATCGATGAAAAATTTTTTATTTCTTTATTGATTCTGGATAGGTGGGCATCGAGGGAATTTTCGCTCAAAATTTAGAAAAAACTTAGCTACCGAAAAGAAGTTGCGACAAAATTTTTGCAAACTTTGAATGAAACAATAACCATATATCTAAATCGATGAAATTGTTTTTATTTCTATTCATATAATTAATATAAAAAATTTCTTGGTAAGTGGTCGTCCAGATATTTTCGCTCAAAGTTTAGAAAAAATTTAACTATTAAAATAAGCCGTGAAAAGTTTTTCCAAACTTTAACAAGGATATCTCGATGATCAAATTGAGCACATAAGTTTACTTTTTTATAGCAACACTAAATTAATAATGTATATAAGCACTTAATATGAATAAAGATTAGATTTGCATTGTTTATTGTATCAACTTTGTCTATTACTAGAGCAACATTCATATAATTTAGCAACATTCATATTTATAACTATTATAAATTAAATATTACAATTTAAAAGAACTGATCTTCATATAAATAGAACAATGTTAATATATGATATAAATAGAAAAATTTGCCAATTATCCAGAATTACAGTATTGAACCGTAATAAATTTAAAGAAAACTAATATATAGTGGGCATATAATGAAGTAATGTGATAAAATTAATACTCTGACACGAGATTGCGACCGTGATTGCACTTAACGGCAACACCCAGCTGCACAACAGTAAGTTCCCTAAACATAATAAATGATAATATGTGTTAACAATGGTTAATATTGTTCATAAAGTAAAATAGGATAAATATATTACCGAAGGGCAGCAGCCAGTTGAACAACAGATAGCATTACTCTGAAGATAATAAAAAAAAATTCGCTGTTAGTAATTTTGATAATAGATAATACGTATTATCTCAAAGAATGAAAAAATTAGGCTTATTACATAGGGACAACATCCATTTTGACAACAGACATAACCGTACTAAATGCATTGAAAGAGAATGCGAAATGAGTAATTTAATCAATGTTAGTAGCAGCAAATATTGCATATATAAGTAGAAAATATTACGTAGGGACAACAATATCCGTATCTAGAGCAGTAATAAGGAGCATACTAAACTCGTCAAAAAGAGAAAGGTTGTTAATAATCAATAGTATTGGACTTAATGTATAAGATTAAAAAAGTTACCGAGGGACAACTAGAAAATGAAAATATTTAATTAATTGGTTATAAAGAGTAAAAAAAATAAGACTCAGCAAAAAAGCAAGACTCTAAACAAATACCTAGCGGCACGTTTTTCTAAAGCATCATTTCTTAATAGCGGAACCAGTGGAACAGTATCATTTTGTGCTGGTGCACTCTCAGAAATGCCCAATAATAAGAACGCGATTATGAGTGTTAACAAGATGAAATTAATTGACTTCATGATTGGCAAGAGGAAATAGGCTGGTTAAACTTGTTTTTTAATTGTTTTGAAAAAATTCGTTACCTCTTAGAAGTCTTTGAAGGCACTTATTTATATTTTCATGCTTATAATAGAAAAAAAATATAGTTAATATATATTCAATTTGTTTATTATACTAATGACAATTCTGTTTTTATTGATCGTTCTTCTACAAGGAATATTTTAAATATTACACAAGATTAAGTTAGATACTGCACAAACGTCTCATTATTTGGCTTAAAAGATTATGACAAAATTCAAATTTATTAAATCGTGAATTATTTTACTCCTGTTTCACTCAGCATTTCACGTTAAAGAGTAAAGTTGTTATTCATATTAAGGGTTTATGCTACTATCCCGTAGTTTTAACGTTTTTGTAGAATTATCTCGGAGAAGAGTGATTTAACGGATAATGCTAACAATGAATAATTGTTATGTGTAAATGTAAATCATTTAATCTTAAGGCATT